GAATATATTCTGAGTCGGAAAGGGGCAGACAAAATAAGATTCATTCTTCTTCTGCTACCTTTCATTTTATTTTGATTTGTATATTTTTTGGTTTTGGTTTATTTTTATTATTGTATATAGTATTTTTTAATGAAATGAATAAATTTTTGAATTGAATTGAACTGAATACTGAATACTATATACACTGTATATAGGGGATCAGACTAAAAACAAGCATCACATTCAGCAGCAAAACGTGAAACAAAAATATAGAAATACAATTTTTTTGTCTTGTTTAGGATTGTATTATACTGTATAACAGAGGTGGGACCAAGTCACTGTTTTGCAAGTCTCAAGTAAGTCTCAAGTCTTTATTCTCAAGTCCTGAGTCAAGTCTCAAGCAAAGACAGTAAAATTAGTGTTAAGTCTCAAGTCAAGTTCCAAGTCAGAAACTTGGAAYTTCAAGTMCYTTTGAGTCTTTTTTTAACAATGCTGCAGTTATATGTTAAATGTAAATAACAGACAAGACGCTCCTTTTTCAAAATCAACATTTATTTCAAATTGTGATGAATTATGTYCAGCTGAACTTACAAAGTATTGAATATTTTTTAATTGCACCTCTATATTGCACAGTTCAATTAAACTTAGCAGCAAAAAGTCTTTCTTAGAACTATAATTATCCCTTTTTTAACAATCTGGTTAATTTTATTTGCTGTGTTGCAGCTCACGCACAGATGTACAGTGTGTGGAAAAAAACGACCGACAGTCGGCCTTTGTTAAAATACAGAATGAGTGAAATTAATTAACGGGGCCCACTTTATAAATTATTTGTATTAAACTTTAGATTTTGGCTAAAATATCAAGTTTTATCAAGTAAACAGAGTCAAGTCCAATTCAAGTCCCGAGTCATTGGTGTTAAAGTCCAAGTCAAGTCAGAAAACTGAACATTTTTTCTAATCAAGTCCATGGTTTTGAGTGGTTTTTGGTGGTTTTGAGTGGTTTTAGGTGGTTTTCAATCCTCCTAGACACCTCTTACATGGTTTTTGATGGTTTTTGGTGGTTTTGAGTAGTTTTAGGTGGTTTTCAGCCCGCCCAGGCCTTTATCACATGTTTTTTCATGGTATTTGGTGGTTTTGATTGGTTTTAAGTCCTAATGACTCGAATCTGACTCGAATCCCCACCTCTGCTGTGTAACGTTCACTTCAKGATCATTTATTCAAAGTGTAAAAAAAAAGAATTGTATGAGGTTACTGTCACTTACTTTTGCAGCGTTGATGACTGTAGCTGCGTAAGACTGGGCACTGTCACCACAAGCTCCTCCTCGAGACTGATGACATCTTATCAGCTGCAAAAACAACAATTTAAAGAGAAATAGACAGTCAAAGCTGACTGAAGACCCACATCTGGAGAAATTAATTCTGATTCCAACATTTAAACGGTYCCACTTTCAACTACTTTTCAAGGAAATTGGTTTTATTAAAAAATAAATAAATAAAAAAGGTGGTCTGCGCAGCCAAACAGCCAATCTCCACTGATTTCATTTAAAATACAATACCACTTCAAATGCTCTGTCCCAATATTGCTCTTTCTGTTCAAAAAGCAAGATTTTGTCATTTCGGAAAATCCTCCTGCAGTCACACAAACAGCAGGCCCATCTGTCAATTACTGGAGTGGCCTAGCACCAAAACACAGTTGTGCATTAAATGAATTGCAGAGTGCGCAACAGGACATGCTGGTTTTTTGTAAATACTTAACAATCCCATTAAACAGAAAATGCCTGAGCATCTGTTGATTTTCAAAAATGTTATCATCTGTAGTGGACTCTTCTTGGAATGAGTTGTTTATCCAGACAGATTAAAGAAGCAGAAAATAGATAAAAAGCTTTTTCCCCCTTTTTTTTTTGCAGGGTAAATATGTCGCTTCTCTCAGATAAGGCACTTCTGTTACCAGATGAATGTGTGTGTGTGTGTGTGTGTGTGTGTGTGTGTGTGTGTGTGTGTGTGTGTGTGTGTGT